ATTCGAACATTTTGCTATGCACGCCTACAGGTGGTTTCGGATTTCTAAACAATCTTTCGGTCTTTGCGAACATATTTAATAGCGGACTGATCATTGCAAAATGGAATATGAATCATATGCCACCATCTTCAGGAACGAACCGAGCTAAAGTCTTGATATTGAAACTATGAAATTCGTGATCGTCTCACGTTTCCCCGGGAGTGTTTGTACTTTACGATTCCCCATAATCTGACCCAGACACAAAATAGACTATAGGACGAGTTGCGGCTCAGTTTTAAACCGGCTTTCTCTAGTCGTTGTAGTGCAGCTGTGAGTCTGGAATCATATCCTTGTTCTGCCTCAGAAAAAATAATGATATTATCTAAACAGACCACCACACCTAGAAGGTTTTCCAGAATCCTCGATAGTATGCGTCTGAATGTAGCAGCAGCATTGCACAACCCAAATGTCATTCTCACAAATGCATACTGCTGGATGTTCCCAATGAAAGCAGATTTGTGAAGATCCGCTTCCGCAATGGGAAGCTGCAGACACCCCGAGCGAAGATGTAACAACACAATTTGCTTTGAAGTGCGAAGAGTGGGAAATTTTTCCCCATTTTTGCATCGGAAATGCATCCTTCTTCGTCCCTTTGGTTAGTTCTCTGAAACAATTACAGAATCTACAGATTCCTCTGACTCTGTTAGTCAGTAGCACCACGGATGAACACGGGTTGTACGTTCGCTTGGTGATCCAATTTTCCTCTACATCTGCCACCAATTTCTGCATCTCAGTCAGAGTATCCTGTGGTTTTCTCCTAAAATTTGACTTGCACAGTCCACCTGGGATCTTAGTAGTTAAAAATGGTGATATTCTCTCTGTCATCCTATCGCACATTTTCATGAGCAAAGAGAAACAGTTGGCGACTGGAATGTCCTGATACGTTGGACAAAACCAAAATGTGTCAGCAACTTTGTTTATCTGTCTCACTTCTTGGACGGATTTTCCCATACAGTACGGAGGTACGAACTAATGAAGCTAGAACAGGTTAACCCGATAGTAAGGACTTTACCGCTATGCTCTGAGGAAAACACGCAACGTTTCAGTATGCTTGGAATGCTGGTTGCCCTGTTGTCGTTTGCATCAAGGTCTATCCGAGCGGCCTTGCGTTACTTGCACTTACGTCTGATGATGGTTCCATGAGCCAAGCGTGCACGGGACACACAAACATGTCAAAACTCGCCAAGGTCAGTCAGCCGGGACAGGTGGAGGTCTCACCGCCTGTCTCACGCGTGGTCCGTGCAGACTGCTTTGTTCCGCGATCAAACGTCTCGCGGTTGAATGCACACAGTTACACGATGATATAGGTGAGGCGCTGGTAAGCGTCCCTAAGTGCCTCGGGCGCGATGTTCAGTAGATGAGCGGAGCAAAGTGCCAGTAACTTCGTTATGATGCAACTTGCAGGGATAGTTGCGGGTAGTTTGGGAGTCCATATCTTCTTCCGAATGGGACCATAATGTTTCCCGAAAGGTTCAGGATTGATGTGGTTACAAACCTAGAATTCGACAAAGAATATACCCAAACTGAGAACTGGAGCAAGGGTATGATCCACACAATTTAGATTCAAGAGATGGGAAGCGCTGAGTAGAGCTCGTCGAACTAGTTCGAACGAGCGCACGCACAATATTGTGTGGGGAGAATTAGTTCCCACAGAGGGCGAAGCGAGAACCGAGTTACAGTGAGGCCGTAAGGCGTGTGAGTCCCAATAAATAAGCAGCGACTTCTCCAATACTTACTGAAACTAAAACTTCAGCAGGCGATTATTTTGCCAGCCAATATAAGCGACTAAAAGTTTAATGTCAGCAATTCATCAAAAATCGGTTAGCTGCCTACCTCACAAGGGTCGGCAAAACTTCACACCTTGAAACTCGCACAATCAGATAATCTTCTCACAATCGGAGCACTTCCTGTAGTTAGACTAATGCTCAGGTCTCTTCAGCAACTTATATGAGCTTCAATCTCCTCAGGCGAACCTTCAAATGACAAATGAGACATGGCTGAAGGAGGAAATCACGGAAGTAAAGATCGCTTTACAGGTATGTCCATCCAAAGTAAAGATCAACCCAGTAGGGTAGGTGGAGTAAGTTTGTACTATCGCAGTGAACTACGTCGTCAAGTCGTGGACGACCAAATGATTCAAGTTGTGGACTCACTTTGGTGTCGCCTGCAACTACGACGCAGCGAATCGCTTTTAGTTACCCTCGTGTGTACTGTCCTCACATATTTACACTGGAAATGGACAATAGTCTAGCTTCTGCCCCGAAAACCGTTCTGGCCCAGCCTAACACACACGTTCTCCTTGTGGGGGACTTCGAAATACGCACGCCAGAGATTCCGGCCTCACTTGTTACACAGTTTAGGGCCGAACCACAAGATTTAGTCTCTGGCCTAGCACTTCGTAATCACGTTACTCCCCCACGAGATTCAGAACTGGGAACAAACCTGACATTTTGAACCTCGTCTTTACCGATGATCGACACAGTAAGTAAGTAGTCCCTTGGGGTGCAATGATCATGCAAAACTAGTTTTGCGCAACGTTTGCAACGCATAACGTTTCAACAGGGATATCGAGTAGGCTAGCAAGGTAATAAAACACACTTTAGCCGACCTCAACAATATCACCGACTGGTCGTTGCTAGCAGAGAAGCCCCCGATGTCACTTGGGGGGAGTTCGTCAACCAGTTCGGCGCTTTAGCAACAAACGCATCAGAGACTAAGATCCTTAGCTTAAAAGATAAAGTCCTTCCTGAGGAGCAGGACGTTGTAACGAATGACCCGAAATTCACTTTGGAAAGCGCTTAGATTTGATCCGAACTCTGGATACTGGAATACCCACTGACTCAAACTTCTCCGAAGCTAAACTGAGATAACAACAGGATTCGGAGGAGCTTTACTGAAATCCTAAACCACTTTAAAGGAATATCAACCAACTTCGCAAACTGCAGCGAGGCATTCTCCTCTAAACATTGCATGTGGGTAACCGCGAACTGCCCAATAAGCAACTAATGCTCTTAGACATCAAATCAATACATCAACACATCGACATTTCTCATACGATTCTCACGTATATCACATCAACACCGGGACTTAAGGACATCTCATTCACAGTCTCTGATTAGCTGAAGCGAATGATGTCACTACGCGAGTACAGTTTCAATGGTCCGGATAACATATGCTCAATGTTTCTGGCAGTAACTGCCGCGAGCTTGGCCGAACCATTCCCTCAGTTTTTCCAAGCGATGTCTTAAAGAGATGGGGTCTCAAATATTTGGAAACGTAGAGTAAGCACCCCCATTTACAAGGAAGGCAATCATGCAGTGCCTGCAAACCATTATCCAATTACTCCTTTTCCTGTGCTTGCTAAATTCATGGAATCTATTGTTGCAGGTGCATTCATGGGGTGTTTAGAGAAGTGCACTATTATCGTGCAGGATTAGCATGGATTCAGGCGAAACTGTTCATATACCACGAATCTTTTGTTAGCCCATGTCAGCTGGACGGAATCCGATGCTGTGGAAGCAGTCGACGCTGCCTAAATGGATTTCTCGAAGGCATTTGATTAGCTAGACCACCGCAATTTTCTTTACTTGCTTCTGAGGCATGGGATCGATAACCCTATGATGGACTGTATACATTCATTCCTACCCAAACGAGGCTTGAATGCGCGGTTCGTAGCGCCCTGTCCGACCAGAGAGGGGTTCAGTGTGACGACCCTCAAGACTCGGTACTAGGACCTCGGCCATTCCTGGTGTTCATAATAAACCTTTCGGGAATGTTGAAGTCGAGCCTTCTACTCTTTGTGCGCAACCTCAAGATTTGGTAGGCCATCAAGCGAGTGGACAATTACACAGCGTGGCAAGGCGATCTCGACAGGGCTTACGAATGGTCAGAACAAAACATGTCTGGGTTTAATCCTGTCAAGTGCAAAATAATGAGCATGCATCCGCAGAGCATCTGCAAATTTCGAATGGGAGAACACGTTCTGCAGTGCCCTTCTCAGAAGAAGGATCTTTGGGTGCCTGTACAGGACAATCTCGGATGCTCACGAAGACAATGAAAATGACAGCCAACACTTGGGCTAACTGTGGAGGGTGTTTGGCCATTTTTGTCCTATCTTCTTTTCGCAAATGCTCAACACTTACTTGAGGCTGCATGTACAATACGCCATTCAAGTGTGGCACCCTTGGCAAAAGCACTGCCCTTGAGAAGCCACAACGGAGGCAACAAAAGATGTGAAGGGATTGCTCCACCTTCCCAGTCAGTTGAGACAAAAGACTCTAGGAGTTTTCAGTGAAGAATATCGTCTTCTGCGAGGTGATCTCATACAGATGTATCTGATCAAGGATTCTAACCATCCATGCCGACTTATATTGAAACCTAGCCACAACACCTCAATGAGAGGCCACTGTTTGAAGTTGGCGACACAGGGCACCCGCTTGTAATGCCGCCGGAACTATTTCATGTATCCCAGTCGTGGAAATTACTTCCGCATTTGCTCATATCTGCTTCCAGGTTGTTCGAATTCAAAACCCGGCTTTATGATGCATTACACCACCTGAATCACATGAGTTAATTCAAGTTACTGGGACAGACGACAACATAACTAAACAATGTGTACACTTGAAATTTGCGGTAAGCCCACTGATGCATGTTTTTTTGATACATCCATTTTTGATCTCCCTCTTCACGCGGAGAAAACAGTTATGCATTTGCTTTCTTATGCATGATAAATCCAGTGTTTCAAAGTCTCCTTTCCATCGTAAAGGTCCTTATTAAGACAGCCACACTTAGGGATTAGCTTTATTCCTCAGTATTAGTCATTATGCTAGTGGACCACCATGCAGTATCGCTACATCCCCATGGACCAGTGGATAATTGTCTCGTGTACAACGCATTTCCGTTTGCTGTCTTTAGACGTGTAATTGTTTGAAGCGCAGTATGGGGATGGTTAGCAGCTCCTAATGCGTTGTGAGTCTCTCCCGCACTCCATATCCACACAACAGATACGGTCGTGGGAAAGTGTGAGTAACTGTGTTTTCTCAGCGCTGCCGCTTCCGTACGCATGTATGGAGTTGTGGTTGACCTTATCAACTATATCCGCATAGGGGTGGGCGTCCTCGCGGTATACTCAGCCCGCGCGCGACTGGTAGTGGTCGCGCGGCAGCGAAGCGCCGTTACGACATAAAGCTGACACATTATTTATTTTTTATTATTATCAACTATAGACTGATGACCATCGTCTGCATCACTAGGAGGACAGATGTAAACTGCGTTAATCGCCTCTCCATGATAGACCGTTCGGGAAGAACGTATGGAAAATGATTCCGCGTTGCTTTAGGCTAGGCGCTTGCAGATCTGGCGTGAAGAAATTCGAGTTGCATTAATGTCAATGAACTGTGTAACCTAGCCGCTTAAAGCAACGGACCTGAAGAGGCTAGTTACGTTCGACCACCGGTGCCTTCGCAATTTAGCTCACATCTGGTGGAAACACCGCGTGAGCAACGAGCGTGTTCGACGCCTTGTTTACGGCAAAGCAAAAGAAAATGAACCGCTCAGCACCGTCGTTTCACGCACCAGGCTCAGATGGCTCGGCCACGTGTTACGCATGCCAGCCCATCGACTTCCACGACGTGCGTTGTTCGCACGCCGGGGTTGCGGATGGAAGAAAAGGGCTGGCCAAGCGATGACTTGGTCGAAAGGAATGAAGGCCCTCACTTCTGAGCTGGTCCCGGTTGGAGCGTCTCGGCTCCCTGGTTGGGGTCCGAAAGACGATGAACACGTTTGGCTGGACACACTTGCTGACATGGCAAGGAGCCGACCACAGTGGCGTACGTGCTGTGAGTTTCTTTGTCCCACCCCATCCCTCTTAGCCTCCCCTCCAACCACGATCTCATCATTTAGCCTTATATAATTTTGCATAGTAATTTTTTTGATGCACAGTAGCCGGCTGGTAGCTTACCAGAACGATGCCCATCCGTTACCGGTAGCTCAGCCGGCTTGCACCAGTTGCTTTTTTCTCTCCATTTTTCTATGTATTACGGCACAGTAGCTGAGGTGTTTCCCACCTTTAGCTAAGGTGTATGATGATGATGATGAATGTCAGTGAACAATGAATTTATACGGGTTAGGAAGCGTTGCTTTACAAGTCCCGTTGGATAGTTGGTGGGGATATCTACCTAACAATAATGAGAATAATGATAGTAAAACAGTTAGTACGTTAAATATGAAAATAAGGACTTATCGTTTGCTCCGCCGTAGCCCTACGATTCGCTTAGATTCACAGCACCCACAGTTAACAACAAATAATTCCATGGTAAACTCCAGGTGTAGGATGAAGACGTAGTGCTAAGTGACAAACTGTAACTGGATGAGTGCATCATCCAACCGTTTTTTAAATACTGTTAGTGTCAGTGCGGTGACGACCGATTCTGGGAGAGCATTCCACGGGTGACACACGAATGGAAAAGAAATTCCTGCGGTACTCCAGACGGCTATACTGTACAGCGAGTTTTAATGAGTGGCCACTCAGGTTTGTATTGCTGCTGAGTTGCAGCAAAGGGCGGCACACATGATGTGGGTCTCGCAGAATATAATCAGGTCGCCTCGTAGTCTGCGGTAGATTTCGCTGAATACCACCATTCCTTGCAGCCTCACCTGGTATGAAAGATAGCGCATTCCAATTGCGTTCGTGAATACCCGACGTTGTGCCTGCTCCAGTGCATTAAGGTCGTGTTTCAGCCATGGATGCCAGGCTTGAATTGCGTATTCGACGTGGGGGCGAACATACCCACTGAGCATTTGTCGAAATGTGGAGCTGTTGTCCAAACGCCCGTCGCAACAGCCCGACGTGTTGGTTCCCAATCTTCGAGGTCTTTTCGGATTGCCTGAAGCAACCCAAGTCATCTTGAACCAGGAGACCCAAGTGAGGTTCGAGAGTTGATCGTTGTAGTATATTCGTTCCGAGCCGGTATGAGTAGCTGCTCTGATGTCGGGTGGAAAGCACCTTGCATTTACTGACGTTGAAATGCAGTAAGTTTTGGGTTGACGATTGATACACCTAGGTCATCTACATCTAGGTCACTGAAACATATGTTGGTCGGTGTTCGCCTGGATCCTGCGCCAGATGTTGAAATCGTCGGCAAACACTAGGAAGTTTGAAGCGATTCCCTGTGCAAGGTCATTAATAAACACCAAAAAACAAACGTGGACCCAGAGCTGAGTCTTGCAGCACACCACACTCGACTTGTATGGGGTCCGATAAAGGGCTCCGAACTCTGACCATTAATTGCCGTTGAAGTAGAAAGTTGGCAATCCAGCTTAAAAGAGGGTCGCCGATGCTTTAATGCTAGAGCTTGGAGTGTAATATCCGATGGTCTAGACGATCGAGTGCCTTGGAAAAATCCAGGTAGATCACATCAACGCCTTCTCCCGCGTTAGCAGCCTCGGTCCAACTACTGCGTGCGATTAGTAAATTCGTTGTACATGACCGCTGTCGACGGAAACCGTGCTGCTCTGGCGTGATGATGTTGCAGTTTTCAAGATAACACACCAGTGCATCGGCAACTATGGATTCCATGACCTTGGAGAGTATAGGAAGAAGGGATACTGGGCGGTAGTTGAAGAGATCAGTTCTGCTTCCACCTTTGTGAATCGGGGTTATTATTCCAAGCTACTACATAGCGGGAACTTGATTCTGGTCTAAGCAGCGCTGAAAAAACTGAGCTAAAGGTCCTGCCAGTTGGCCTACTGCTGCTTCCAGTGCCTCTGGATGAATGGTGTCGACACCTGACGAGCTGTGTTTGCGTAGAGAAGTCAGCTTTTGCAATACAGCCTCCGCGAGAAGACCACAAAGGTTAGTAGGTCGCTTGGTGGCAAGACCCTTTGAAACGTGGGAGCATATTGCGTTCGCAGCGCATTTGTTGCTTTCACAGCCGTTCTTGTTGAGCCATCAGCCGTCCTGAGTGGAGGATATCCTTACCTCACCTTTCTTAGGTTATTGACGTGACTGTACAGCAGTTTGTGGTTAGCACTGAAGGTTTCTGCGATGCTGTGCTGATAGGCGGCTTTCTCTTCTCTCAGCAGTTGAATGCACTGGTTACGTTGGGCTACGTAGTTGTTTCAAGTTTATGGTGCTGGAGCTTCTCTGTACACTCACCATGCTGCGTTGCGTCCTATCATCGATTTTCGAGTTCTGCTCCTAACGAAAGAAACTGATTTGCACTTATTGCAAGCTTTCGTCTCTGAAGCCTGTGCAATCAGCTGACTGAATTTGTTGACGAACTCGAGCCAGGCGACTTCCGGGGGTTGTTCGTCAAGGAACGACCAAGTTGTGGCACTGACGATCTGGGCTAATCGATCGTAGCTTGTGATGGTTTGCACAGTCTCCTCATTCTGCATAGCAAACGAAGTTGAAACTGATCACTGCGACCAACAGGCAGCCTAAAACCAACACACTAATCATATGCTCCCCGTTGGGAAGCACAAAATCCAACACAGATGGCCTGTTACCTGTTCTGAACCGAGTGGGCAAAGTGATGTGATTGTAAATAGAAACAGTGGTTACGAGATGTTGTAGATCGGCTTTGAATTGTTCTCCGATCGTGGCAGGAGTTTCTACACAATGTACGTTGAAATCACCCATGATAAGTATGTGAGTGTACTTTTGTTGTAAATTGCATCTTGAAGCAGCCGTTAGGTGGTAGTCGTTTTCGAGTGTAGAGTTAGGAGGGCGGTACACCAAGACAATAAGGCAAGCGTCCCTGTCTTTTAACTGCAAGCGGCACCAAAGAGAGTCGGGGAACTGCGAGTCTGAATCCTCCACGGCTTCGCACTGTAAGTCGCTTCGGTAATACAGGATTATTCCTCGTGCTTTTGTGACCCTGTCGTTCCGGATCAGCGACATGTCCGATGTTTGATTACAATCACATTTGCAATTTGCTGAATGGACCTTAAAGTAAGTTGAGTTTCAATAAACAAACTTCTGAGTATTTCCCTGTGTGTTTTACAAAACCGGGCATGGCGAACGTAAGGATTTTCCTCTTTTTGTTTTACAACTAATGTCGCTCACAATCGTGTGACAGGCCCCAGATACAGTATACCTGATGTTGAGGGTCATTTTGAACTACACGTTGTGTGGTGCATTGCGATGCGCAATCTCAATGCTGACCGCGATTCCCATTGAAGTGAACCTTGGTCTTCCGATCACGAGGACCTGATGTTATCAAGCAAGCGATTGTACGCTGTGTTGAGGGCTATGGCATCTATTCCGTGTCTACTTCTTTGGGTAATTTCAAAGGCTGTCATTCAGGAGGTTCAATGCCCCGATTTTGTGTTTTGGCTCTGAATTTACCGGAGGCTGAATCGAGTATGAAACGGATTCCAGGATATCTGCCAATGAAATAAACGGCGCCAGTTACGCTTTTGTCCAGCCAAGTGTTTTTCTTACGTCTTTACTTTGTTTGACAATAGAGATATTAGACAGATAATGCTAACCGAATTTTCCCTCACTGGTCTCTCAGGCTTATTTATTTTTTCTTGCACCCTGAGGACATGATAACTGCAGTTGTACAACAAGGCATAGGTTCAGTGGCATCAGTTATGGTTTCAGTGACTTTTTTCGTGATTACCCGATATCTAGCAACGTTTTCTCATCGCACTTGTATTTGCAGTAGTCTTTGGCTAGATTTACTACTTCCCGTGAAACCAGGTGATCAGTCGCTTTAAGTAATCGTCAGCCACGCGACACGCTTTCCGAAGTTAATATTTTTATTACTGTGTGATGTTACATACATGTCGGAATCTAATGATTTTTATTTATTTTGCATTTACCATCCTATGGGTCTTGTAAAGCCAATGCTTTTTATCCCATCATACACTATTGAACTATTGAATGAGACAATTACTGCTTGCAAATTTCTGGAATCAAAAGGCAGTTTCCTTTACACATTCCGTTAGAAGAGCAAGATGTGCTATTTTTATTTCAGTTAGAACAGCCCCCAAAACGGTAGAATAAAGCTTCTTAAACTGAAGTTTCCCAAATTCACGTGCAGTTTGATCGTTTCGGCCCGGCACTACATCATATATTACACTTGCCACTGTTTCGCTGTTATCGACTCAGCTTAGTCATCATCATTATACACGTTAGCTAGAGGTGTAAAACACCTCAGCTACTATGCCGCAATATATAAAAGAAAATAAATGCAACAGTTACATGCCAGCTGAGCTATCAGGAACGGATGGGCAACGTTCCGGAAAGCTAGCAGCCGGCTACTAGGCAACAAAAACATGATGTAAAATTATATTACGTTACGAATTGAGATCGTGCTTAGAGGTGGAGGCTAAAAGGGATAAGGAAGAACAAAGAAACTCACAGCAAGTACGCCATTGAGGTCGGCTCCTAGCCATGTCAGTCAGCTTAGTCAGATGTGCTAACAAGTTCGCTGCGCAGTTTAGGACGATTCGTGGCACCGTCCTTTTCCAGACAGAGAGCCTACTGCGTATCCGAAAAATGTTACACGACTTTTTACCACATTGTGGCTTATGACCAGTGTTCATTTCGCAACATCCTTCGAAAATTGTGTCAACGACCCGCCAGCCGCTAATGCCATCAGGTCATAGATGAAGACAACGAACCACTAGCTGGTGCCACTCCGGTTACGAAAATGCAGTGTTGTTGTATTGGGGTTCAACCCTCAACAAATCAAAATCACGTCTACCAGTACCGAGCACTACTATGTATGAATGTCGCATTACAGCAAACAAAAAATTGATGCGTTCGAACGGAACTGGTGGTTTACTCTTGGACCCCGGAATATGTGTTTGACCCCTCGGTTTTGCAATCATTTACTTGTAGCTTCAAACAGCATTATGATCATGTCTTTAAAGGCGTGCCTCGTGCAGTCAAGAATAAAAAATTATTTAGTTACTTATTCAAGCAAGAGTTGTGAAGGAGTGCGACAGGAGGCAGCTGGAGGAATTCATTCGTGGTTCAGTCGTGTCCACCTATGCATAGGGAAGATGTTCCCTAATATTCCAGCAGGAACGAATACAACCCCATATTTGTGGAAGTTAATCCCGCATATTGATTATGCCGGTATCATCCAAGTGCTCTGGGTGGGAGCTACGGCACGATATTTGTGCTTGTTTAGTAGGAACCTGTTAAGTAAGTGCCCGAAAATTAAAAGTAAAAGAAATGCTCCGCCAAATCGCTATACATTCAAATGATCCCCTTGATCGGATTCGCCTAACATCCACGGCACCGACTGGTCACGTGCTGAAGCGTTCGACCAGGCTGCCCAGTGGATACATGAGTGCACAGGTTCCCAAAGACAGAGGTGGTGGAACTGAAGGAATGGCATCGGTATCAACGTGAACCATAAGTTCAGATCGCTATCACAGGACATACTGAACGATTCATTAGTAAGACCGATAGGTGAAGGGGTTGCATCGACTGGCGTTCAGCTCTCTTGCACGTGACTCCGAACTGTCTGATGAGCCTTGTTGGCTAATGAAAGTACACAGCTGTCGGGACTAATAATTTGGATCTATCCGCATGAACTCGCAAGCGCTGGTTACTATACCTTTCTCTTTGACGGTTACATCATATCTTATCCTATCCACCTTTCAGCTGTAGCACCCTGAGTTGTCTTGATGATGACGAGTTGAAAATCGTTCAGCCATTTTTTACTAAGGTATTCATGTATACACACATGGTTATTTGCTCTTCTTTGAATTGTCATTGTAGTTGGTAGTGATAAAGTAAATCGCAAATTGTAAAAATTATTATCCCTTATAGCAGATACCCAATTCGGGCACACCCCAGTCCAGCAGATTGGTGCAGACCGCACCCGAGTACCAAAAGAATTGCATCCGGCAGTCTACCAATACAGTGAGCACACACGGGCCTGCCGAGCAACCAACGCTGAAGCAAAAACGCTTTCGGTGGACTCCGATCAGCAGTTCAACACCTGCAACTCAAATACTAAGGAGCTGTGTACCTACTGACACCGAAAACCCGATCGATGTCGAAAGTGCACGGGAGCAAGTTGGTGAATATGCATCCCGCACTGCAGACGACTCCATACTGGAGAGTGAAGCGAAATATGGCAGTGATAGCGGCCTAGTGCAAACTCCAAGACCGTTTAATGAGATAGCACTGGCAGTTACAAAAACCAAGAACAAATGTGACAGCGCCGTATCCGACAGGGCTGAAGTGATTTGCACACCACAAGATTCTTTTAATGGAGAAGAGAAAGTAAATGATGTATGGTTCAGCCATAATGACAGTACCGCAGCACACCCCGAGATGAACTTCGAAGAAGGGTTTCTCGAATGGGAAAGGGAGACTCAGACACCACCTCTCACACAGCAGCGTCCACCCTGGGAGCAGAAGGATAGAAGCACAGACATCGATCAAGACCGTACGCGGTCCGACTCTGCTGATTCCTGTGCAGATGCATTTTGCCGGTCAGAGATGAAAGTTAAATCGACAGATCCTTTGCCACTGAGATGGAAGACAAGAGTTGATTTCACTGATGTTAGTCTCAGACCAGAAATGAACCGATACACAACAGCCACTTTCTCCACGAATACATCAAGTCGTAGATCATATGAAACTCCACCAGGGCCTCCGCGATTCAGATTTGATGTAACCCAGAAAGGCAGCGCGGACACGATAGGACAGAATGTGACCACCAGCGGCATAGATAGAGAACGTTCCATTCCTGACACACCCTGTAATCAAAGCACGCTGGTTCACTCGGTGTATGAATCCAAGATACCCGAAAACGTCAGGTTTCGGAGCACTTTAACTAGGAGGGCCGATGGAGACCAGAATCAGCGACTGGATTTAGATGTGGGGCTGATTGAGTCAGGATGGGAAGAACTGGCCTGTTGGATATATGTCATGGAAGTTTGCAAAATACACGGTGAGTGGTTCATCGGTTTTCAATCACTGGTTGCATTTCCAAGTGTTACAAGTGGTGCAAATTCATCTTAAGTAGGTTTTGTCATCAGCATGATACACGAAAACACTGAGTGGACGAGATGAGAGTCTTCAATCACTGAAGTTTGATCGAAATGTGGTTCACTGTCGTTATTGAAGCGAGAACGACTCACGGTGTGAGGTTATCAATTTCACAGGAGTGGGTGTTACTATTGAGATTAATGCAGCAAGGGTCACCGAAGTTTCGGCGTCAGGAATTAAGTGCAAAACAGGTACTGGATTCCAACTATAGGAACGAATGTCTCTACGGATGGTGCCGCCGAAACAGTATCGATAAGTGGCGTCAATGTAGATCGCTAAGAAAGCGGAGCGGAAGATAAACGTGCAGGTCACTTGTGGTCAATTTCGTGTTCTACACACCAGTAGTCATCATCGTCATTATACACGTCAGCTAGAGGTGGGAAACACCTCAGCTACTGTGCCGCAACACATAAATGAAAAAGGAAAATAAATACAAAAGTTGCATGCCAGCTGAGCAACCAGCAACGGATAGGCATCGTTCCGGTAAGCTACCAGCCAGCTACTAGGCGAAAAGAAAAATTATTATGTTTTACGCTAAGAAATGATATCGTAGGTGGAGGGGGAGGCTAAAAGGGATGGGGAGGGACAAAGAAACTCACAGCACGAACGCCACTGAGGTCGGCTCCTTGCCATGTCAGCAACTGTATCCAGCCAAACGTGTTTACCGTCTTTTGGACCCGAACCAGGGAGCCGTGACGCTCCAACCGAGGACAGCACAGAAGTGAGGGCGTTCATTCTCTTGACGAAGTCATCGCTTGGCCACCCCTCCTCTTCTTCCATCCACATCCCCGGTGAGCAAACAACGCACGTCGTGGAAGTCGATGGGCTGGCATGCGCAACACGTGGCCGAGCCATCGGAGCTTGGTGCGTGAAATAACGGTGCTGAGCGGTTCAGTTCCTTTTGCTGTGCCGTAAACAAAGCGTCGAACACGCTCGTTACTCACGCGGTGTTCCCACCAGATGTGAGCCAAACTGCGAAGACACCGATGGTCGAACGTAACTAGCCTCTCCATGTCCGCCGATCTTAGGGGCCAGATTTCGCAACCGCACAGTTAGGTCGAACACACACAACAGTAGTAGAGAAGGACGCATCAGTAGTAAATAATGATGTACTACCGACCGTGATGAAGATGGCGTAGGGCTTCAGCAGAGTCAATCGACGGCACGTGTGCATAGCGTGGTGAAACTCGTCTTAGTTGCAATTACGCTGCACAATGAAATAGTGAGTCATCATCATCATTATTCAACAGGTTAGCTGGAGATGAGAAACACATCAGCTATGGTGCCGCAGTACGATAAAATTACCTGAAAATAAAAACAAAACGAAAACAAGCAATGCATTTTTTAACTGGCAGTGAATTAGGAGTCTAAGAGGGATGCGGCGGACAAAGTAATGCACAAAACAAACGCCAGTGAGATGTGCTCTTGTCTGTCAGCAGGTATATCCAAGTAATCGCATTCATCGTTTGCTGGACCGCAATCAGAATCAAGCAGGGACATAGAAATAACAATTTCGAAGTTCGATTTGGTTTATCGCAATTAGATTCCAAGCTGCATAGGTAAGCTGCCAATCCGGAAAAGCACTAAACGTGCGTTTCGCCCTATTGGGACTAGTCAGTGGTGCGCATCCATCGGTCCCCTACTGGGGATCGAACCCATGACCGCTAGAGGCTAACGCCAACTAGCCAGCAGCTTATGCCACTGAGCCATGGTGGACGACCGCCGACCATCACGAATTGAAACCTAACTGCGATATAGTCCGACCCATCCTCCACTGTCGTGCAGGTTAATGCCCGTGCATAGGACAGTGGTTGGCCGTCACGGTCAGGTCTTCCCTTGCCAGCGCCGTGAATCCACACAGAAAATTTGAATACTAGTAGGGCTTAGATTTGTATTATGAATGGGTAAACGGATTTGGGTATGAAGTTGTAGATCTATCATTTAGAATGGGTACTTCGACAAATTTGTCTCAATAAACTAAAATACGACCTGATAGTGAGAAAAGTAAGGGTAAAGGAAGGGGAGACATTATTTCGCATGGTTGAGAATGTTTTATTTATGCAGATAGTAGTTGGTATCATCTCACTATAATAAACGCACAGTGGCACATCTCTTCCCCTAACGGGAAATTTTTGTTTTACATCCTCAGCAGAAGATAATCGGACGATCAGTGAAATGACGGAACACACCCCACGATTAGAAACCCCGTCGTCGACAACACGCATAATGAATTGGCAGACTCTGAGTGGCAGAATCGGTGTCGACAAAGTACAGGTGAGGCAATAACCGTGTAAAGGAATGTTGCGAAATAGCCTTGGTATGCAGCACTAGGCAAAAGTGTAGAAGCCAAGAGAATGTAAGCAAACGCAGCTGAGTGCAGCCCGAAACTGCACAAAGAAAGCGACAGTGATTCTGTATGTTGCAAAACCGGAACTGTTCCGCTAACTAATGAGAACGAGTATGTATGATGACATAAATAACGTAACGTTTTTTACCCCCAATTTTTCTAACCAAAGTTAAGAAAATCAAGTCCAGGCGACATTCTTTCATCATCTCTACCAACAACCGCAGAAGCATACAAATGCGGTAACGGACGAAGAGGGAGCAGCACTGACTCAACGTGCTCGTAAAAGCATTCAAATTTGTCCGAAGTGCGACAATTCAGACGATTGCTGAGGGGAATTAGAATTTGCAGGTTTTCACCATTTGCCACAGTAAACCAATAAATGTGGAATACTGAACGTGCAGTGCGCCATAACATGATCATGCACTCACGCACCACATGTGTAAGATAAACCTAATAAGTGAAAACGAGATTCGACGGCTGAGAGAGAGAGTTAAGACTTTCCGGTAATTCGTTCGAAACTCAACAAAAGTAGGGAAGTTGCCGCAGTGGACAACTGCACATCAGGGAAGTTTCACGATCAAAGTGAACAGGGACCGGTTGATATCGGTCGCGCTGGATTTGGTTTTTGTCACTGACCTTTCTATATAAAAAATCAAACGAGTGGAAGGCGTAACGAATAAATCAAGGGCTCTTCTGAATTCACGTGAAGGCAGAGCAGCCCATCGATGAATCGTACTCTTGGATATTTCGTCATTCGTTCTTTGGTTGTCGCTTAATCCCACCCTTCTTAAGAAATTAGCTAATGTGCTGGAAAGCAGAAAAGATATTTAGCAACTTGTAATTTGTTTCCGTATTTAAGCACTTTCAGGTCGACTGCAGTCGGGAGGATGCGTTAGCTTTGAAGTCGAATGGTATTCAGGTCGACATGGACGAGCGTCCCAGTTATCCTGAGGCTTGCGAGGAATAGAAACAAAACGTCTTTAAATAACTTTTGTATCGTTCATAAAAATATACAGGTTATTTGCAAACAATAAGTGTTTTCACAGCCACGTCGCCGTACAAGCCACGTGAACAATCAGAGCGGTGACAAATAGTGAAAGACTCGGAAGGTGGGTTGGTGAATTCACGGCCGCATGTACTGAAAACAAGGAGAAAACAGAAAGGTGATCACAATAAGATGAAGTAAATATAAAGTGAAAATGGGAGCAACAGGAATTATTTTAACTGCGAAACAGTCTCTGCAGGCTGCTCGTAAGTTGTACCGCCAAAACACCACAATCACAGTATGAGGACTAATGAAACGTAATTCGCGTGCCACGCCATCGTGCCTCATACAACAAAATGCGAACTACCACTAAAGACTTGATATGAGAACCAATAGGCATCAGTAAACAAATGAGATGAGGTCGAGGGTATTCGCTTGGAGAAGGCTAGCGCCATGATGCGAGTGATCTAGAGTAAGATCAAACTGAACTGCAATCTCGCCTTCTCTGCGTATTTTATTTGGATTCCGGTGAACTGCGGCCCCGTCGAATTATCGGGTAGCTACGGGTCGATAAGCAAAAGTATTCCCGATTGTGTTAAAAGCAGCAGACAGAACACTATAAATTTGCTTACAAGTTGTTAGACAAGTGGTGATAAACTGTAAGTTAGAGGTAACAGAATAAGTCCGTACTTTCGTGTTCACGCTTTAAACAACGATAGTGAGGGGAACTCCGTCAGCACTCTCGCGTCTCAAAATCGCACATCCAGTGTAGCAATCCAAGGAGCAAAGAGACGGTGGATGAATAGATAACAGAAAACAGAATCAATGGGGACATATCTGAAAATAGACGCCGGAGTAGTATCCGACTGTCCGGTTTAACAGGCCAGATTGCATCGTTCAATACGTTGTGCAGAGCAGATTTTTCGTGTTTATTTCCGCCGAATGCAGTTTCTTTTGTCATTCTGAAGTTTTATTGTGTATTTGTTGCGTGTCCGTAAATGCTACTCTGGTATTTGTATCGTGAACGTTTGTCACCTTTACTATCACATCTCCTAAGATATCCGTAATGACGAAGCCGACTCCCTATGGCGGTTTTTGCAAAATATTTGGACACAGGGCCAATGCTGTTATATGCCTTATGTGTCGTGTGCATTTCCACGGATCATTTTAAACCACTGTGTGAAATCCAGCATCACTTTGTCCAAATATTGTGCAAGAAATGCCAAGCCACTGCGCAGTCACAAACAATAGAGAAGTCGTGCTAGCCAACAAGAAAGTTGAAACGTTCCATAGGGAAGAGCCCCGTGGGCGCATTTAAGCAAGCGGAAACCCAGCCACTCTATGTTCGAGGGAGCCCACCTGTTGCAGGCTCTCCAGAGGGATGTCCACCCGTTGCTGAAGCCTCAGCTAGCGTGCAGCGCAGTCACAGCCGAAAACCCGCGCCAGCCTACAAGACGGGCGAAACGTTCCATAGGGAGGAGCTCCGTGGGTTCATCCAAGCAAGCAAAAACCCAGCCCCCCTTGTGTTTGAACGAGCCCACCTGCACACCAGCTGCAGGCTCTCCAGCGCCATGTCCACCCGTTGCTGAAGACTCAGCTGGCGTGCCTGTGTTGCATCCTACGGACACAAACATACCGGTGTGCGATAGCGCAGCCGTTAAAGGCCAATGGAGAATGCAGCAAAGCAAAAAGGAGGACAACTGACAGCAATCAGCGGCGTTGTAACCTTATGATATTTTATGCGCTTGAATCGACGGAGGATATTCCTCAAGCTCGCCATGACCACGACGTAGATTTTCTACAGAGCCTGAATGATAGGCTTCTCGACGTGAATGAACAGGGGTTGCAGGTGAAGCAAATCACTCGTCTTGGAAAGAAAGAGGAAGGAAAATCACGGCCTCTGCGAGTCACTTTTGTTGATGCAACGAGTCCGAGGCTGATACAATCCCGCCTCGGTAGGCTAAGAGGTCTAAAGAACCATATTCGTCCCGATTTGGATCCATCGGACAGAGAGGAACTGAATTTCAGTATTGTGGAGTTGAAGCGCAGAAGTGATAGTGGAAAAACCAATCACCACAGCGTAAATTTTCTGGTAGTTCCCCTGGTCCGCCGAACCCGGATCAACAAATCGGTGACGCACCATGCGCGTCCGCCGGTTCCTATCGCGGCCTGCGCATAGCCATCACAAATGTTTGTAGTTTAATGAACAAACGTGACGATGCATTTCACTTCGTTGCCTCACGTCGTCCGGACGTACTAGGAGTGGCCGAAACCTGGTTAAATTCTGAGGTCACTACGCAGGAAGTCCAGACCAGTGGCTACTCGTGCTTCCGGTGCGACAGACTATCACACGATCGAGGCGGCGTGCTGTTATACATTCGGTCCTCGCTGTGCGGGAGACTGGTACACACCTACCGTAGCGAAGATGGCTTGTGCGCACAGGTACGGTGCTCGATCCGCCTGAGACAGTGTGAACTGTTTATGCGTGCGGCATATCGCAGCCCGCGAGTTCGATGCCTGGATTGGTTGCCTCATGCCAGAAACTACATTAGTCGGCCCAGATTCTAGCTTATGGATGATTTTAACTTCCCTCGAAAACGGTGGCTTGAGGTACAACTTTTCCCCGGGCATTATGAGGTCGAGGCGAAGTTTGCGAATATGGTATTTGAAACTGGGGCAGCATAACATGTCTGCCAACCGACGTGCGTTACACCGCATTCCGCTCCATCGTGCCTGGACATATTAAAAAAGAGTTGCGAGCAATATGTACATGAAATTCAAGTTCTAGAGCCTCTGGCAGCTAGTGACCATTTGATGGTGTTAGCCAACCTAGAGCTGCCGCTGCCCTACTCGCGTCCGCCGGAGCCGTCCTACAAGCATTGGAAGACCGACCTCAATGGCATAAATCGAGCCACCAGTGAAGTAGACCGGTCGCTGCCGCAGGATTCATCTGCTGAAGCCTGTTGGTCTGTTATAAAAGAGGGTGTGCAATCGTTTTGCGCACGTATCGTATCTCTCAAGTATCGGAAAGCTGGACCAGTGAAGCCAAATCGGTTCGACAGAGAGTATGGTCAATTAGCTCGACGGCGAAGAGTATTGTGGAATAAATTCTTCGTGTTTGGCTTTGCCGACGATTAGGAGGCGTACAAAAGGCAGCGGAAGCTATGCAACAGCGCACTGTCGGCAGTTCGAATAGGAACTTGCAATAAAAGCAAGGACGGGCCCCCAAAACGATTTTTGCTTACTGAAGCGGCGCCTGAAACCCACAAGTGACGTAGCTGTGTTAGAGAGCACTGACGGACAGCCTCTGACCACCAGCACTGAACGTGCGTCTGATTTGGCGGAAGACTTCCCTTCCGTATTTACAAGTGGGCATGTGCCTATGTCGAGCTCGACATGTGCAGCTCCTACTGAACTTGACGGACTTGATTTCAGTCTACTCGCCAGTCTTGAAAGTACAAAACCTGACGGAACCGATGGACTTCACCCGCTAATTTTGAAGTCTTTATCGCCCATCATCTCGCCTGTCGTGACGGATCTGTTCAACAAATCGCTGTGCGAGAGTGCATTGCCGAGCGACTGGAAATGCTCGGTAGTCAAGCCGATTCCAAAAGATGGTGACCCACGCAATGTGAACAATTACCGGCCGATTTGTCTTACCTTTGTTTTGGCGAAAGAGCTAGAGAAGATTGTGGGAAAGGATCATCTCCAGCTGCTGGAATCGAAAGATCTGCTAACACCGGCACAGCACAACTTCATGAAGGGCTGCTCGTGCATCACCAACTGCTGTTGACACGGCAGGAATGGTTGCAAGCGTTGAACCGGAGGAAGTCAGTGGATTTTAGCTATATTGATTTCAGTAAAGTTTTCGATAAAGTGAACCATGAGGTTCTACTCCACAAGTTGAGGATGTGTGGTGTTGGTACCGCACTGTACCAGTGGATCAGTAACTTCCTTATTGGAAGAAGATGGTGGGTTTAGGTGGATGACCACCTAACGAAATGGTACCCGTCCACTAGCGGTGTGCTCCAAGGTACGGCACTAGGGCCCATTTTATTCCTGATCCACATCAATGAAGTACTTCAGCTTCTTCGGTCGCCCTGTGCATTATTTGTGGACGGCCTGGAGATTTGGAGGATTATTGATTCTCCCGATGACTGTGACGCCCTACAGCAGGAACTCGACCACCTATCACGGTGGTCTGCAGAAGTTGACCTACCGGTCAAGACGACTGTCCTCGTTTCTTAGCCTGGAGAGGGGTAGTAATGGGTATACGTATACCCTGGCCGGCCACTCGCGGCATCCCACTAGTTCCGTAAACGATCTAGGCGTACTCTCACACTGTGATCTGAAGTCTGTCGACAACACGAACAGACTGTACGCAAACGGGCTACGCTTGCGTTGGGCACGTGAACGCAGCATTCGACGTTGGTCTGAGGAGATTGCCACCCGTCTGTTCTCTTCGAGAATAAGACCGGTACCTGAGGATGGCTCACCCGCCTATTGTCCGACCACAATAGGTGAGATGCGGAGACTGGAATGGATCTAGCATGCAGCTACCCAGCTCATCCCCAGTCGTACAAGGACCGAGATAGGAGACTAGGGCTTTATATCCTGTCATATCGTTGGCTTCGAGTTGATCTCATTATGACGCACGGGATATTGCACCTGTGCCACTTCCCTATGTTGAAGCCGCTGCTGCAACTTCGCGCACCAAGCGGCACGTGCAGACACCGGTACAAACTAATGGTACGGGTTTTAAAGCGCATCGCTTCGAGCGTCGGTAGATGAAATAATGGAACAAGTTGCCGGAAACGTTAGTAGAGACGAAATTAGTTTTGGAATTTAAAAGATCTCTTGACGCTCACTTTCCGGATTACAGGTACAGAGAGGGTACCGCACCCGGATAAGATGTAGTGCAGCTGCAATACGCTGCCACTGCGCAGGAATCAGTGACGTGATCCCGCGCATATGTCCGATCCACCTACGATGGAGTAACATAGATTTTTATCATACTCTCTATTCTCAGTATACAGTAATAATTCAGAGGTCAGAAAACAATCGGCTGGTGAACTGACCAATGTCTACTGAGTAACAATAAGTTTAGGCGAAAAGTAGTCTAAATTAGGTCAGGTCACGTGAAGTTACAAGCA